ACATCATCTGGGGCAGAAGGTAGTTTTTAAGATGGCTGCCACTGAATAAAGACAAGCTCTAGTTCAAGCTCCTTGCTGTCTGCCTTTATTTTATGTCAAATCATCACAGATGGGAAGCCAGGAGGAAATCTAGGGCTGGTAGGCTAAACTGAGAAGGAAAATCTTAGGCCATGGCAAACTGCTTCATTGATATAGCTGTTAGATCACCAGCTCAATTGAAAAGCCACTTTTAAAAAACCATTAATACAACAAACCTGGACTTCTCAATAATATCTCAATCGGTACATTTATGATACGGCAAACCTACAATTTTATCTGAAAAAGCATGACCAGAAGATGATCCAAAGCAGTTTTAGGTTAAGCATGAATTTATATTCTTTGTTTTGAACAGCATAATTTATAGAAGCAAATATTCAAGCAGTATCTATAAATCTATCTTCGCTGAACTTTAATAATTTTCATTAATTTAAGTTATTCATTGGATAAAGTTATATACTGCATAATTGGACTATTATCAATAACAGAAAAGAACCATGCGGATGAATGTGGATGAATGAGAATTAGCTTAGATCTACTGCAGATGTTTTCTAGAAACATTTAAACCACTGATATTTTCCCTTGATTTGTAGTTTCAGAGGATAGCACAACACGTTATTTCTTCCTCACAAAACTTGCTGGGGAGGAAAGGATAGGTATGCAGCCTTCAAGGCAGAAAAATGTAGTATACGTAGTCCTCGACTTATGATCACAATAGAGCCCAAAATTTGTATTGCTAAGTGAAATATTTGTTAAGTGAGTTTTGCTCCATTTTACAACAATTCTTGTGACAATTGTTAAGTGAATCATAGCGGTTGTTAATAACATAGTTAAGTGAATCTGACTTCCCCATTAACTTTGCTTGTCAGAAGGTTGTAAGAGGTGATCACATGAACTGGGAACATGGCAAATGTTATAAATATGACTCAGTTGCCAATATTCAGAATTTTGATCACATGACCAAGGGGATGCTGCAATGGTCCTAAGTATGAAAAATAGTCATAAGTCACTTTTTTCAGTGCCACTGTAACTTTGAATAATCACTAAATGAACTGTTGTAAATTGATGACTACCTGTATATATTCCTCATTCCATACTTATTTTACTCTGTTCAAGGGGATGACTAGGTTGCCAGTTATAAAGAGGTAAAATATTATACAACATTATTTAAGCAGAAGAAAAGAATACTGAAGTCAGAGATAGCTTTCTAATCATTTATTCAGACTTTGCGTAATGATTATTGCTCATTTGCAAGGATTATTAATATTGCATTCATTAAAAATCATTCATATACAAAATAAACCTATCCCCATCTGGACTAATGCTATAACATGCTCCCTCTGATTGAACTGAGGTGTTGCTAGGTATGAGAATTTATTTCATGGCTTATACAGAGATGGAGCCCTTAGCTAAGATATTTATCGACATTGCAACATAGAGGCAGAGAAATGGAATGAAAAAGCCCTCCCAAACTTCTGGAAGCCTTTCTGGAATACACTCTGCTGGATTTACCTAATTCTGTTATAAGAAATTGTAAGAGTGCTGTGAAAAGTAAAAAAATAAAATTCAAGATATCCCAATGAAATATTTGGGAAAAAAGTATGTTTGTTCAAGCTGAGATTATTGTATGATCAAAACAATCATTTGGCCTGGCCATATTTAAAATCAGATTCTGAAATTGAGGGTATATGAACATCTCGAGGCAGAGTTTAGTAGAAGCTTTTCTACTAAAAGTCAATGTCCTGCATCATTCTGCAAGACTAGATGTCACTATGCTACTGCCAAAAATAAATACTTATTTAGATACTTATTGAGTCATTTAGAAATAGAGAGCAAGCATGATGGATGTGCAAATGTTTGGGGTCTCAGGGTCCTCATCAAATTGTAATTGCTTTACGCTCTTCAGTGAAGGACTAGCTACCAAAAGGTCTTTATCATACAATAGTGGGACAAAACCTATAAAGGAGCTAATAATGACACGTTCAATATTTACATCTAGTTTTCCACAAGGATTACGTAAAAAGGCAGGAAAAAAATCAAAGTTGGTCATTATGTTCACAAAATCTCTGGCTCACAGATGCTATCCCTTGATACTTCAGCAGATCAGAACCCAGCAATTGGCTTGATTCACCATCTTTCACTGAACATTTGCTTTTCCTAATCCTGAAGCTTCTCTCCCCCTCCATTTCATGGCACTATAATATGAAATCCGGGCTGTACTATAATCTCACAGGAGAGATACCAGTGCATCATATTAACTGGACAGAATATACTAATTACTAGGATAAAAAATTAAAGCAGCAGAGCACTTGAAATAGTAGTGCCAATGAAAAGGGATCCACCTTCACTATTCATTTGGTACAAATGGAGTCTGAAGATGGAGGGAAGTGCCTTACACAATGAGTAAGTCTCTCTATAGGATTTTAAAACCTACCATAAATGATAATTCAAATGTTTCCTGTGCTATGTGAAGGAAGGAATGGAGAACATGAGATGCCATCTCAGTTCAAGAGGGCCAATCTGGTTGTTGGTGGTCCCAAAATTCTGCTAAGTATTAACTAAAATAGTCTCTCTAGTTTATCAAACCAGAAGCAAAATATTTTTTTAAAAATCACAGCCTTTAAGAATATGATATGGGTACATCTTGGTTTAAAGCAGCAAAAATAAAATAAAATAATTGAAAATTGAAATGCTATAAAAATGGATAGCCATATCCATTTCAATTCAGTTTAGCACCCTAGCAACTTAAAAAGAGAAGTTAAAACTGCCTACATTTAGTATAACCAGGCATGCGGTTATATACTTGAAGTAGGAAAAAATATCTTAATTGATCATAAATAATAGGTGATATTGTCCTACTGAAATCAAGAGGACATTTTTCCACATAAAGAATGAAGATTAGGCATTTGTGGAATATACACCTATAACCCAACTGGCCACAAGGTGTCAAGTCTGTTCCCATGGAGGAGAAGGAACACTAATGTAGCAGCTAATAAATAGGGGCTCATTAAGGCAATTTAGAATTTGCAATTAATTTTCACACAGAAAAAATAGTACTCTTAATATTCTGCAGTTCTACCAGCTACAACTAAGGTGCTCTGAAAATTTTAAATTAAAAAACAAAATCACATGAAGAGAATACCCCACATCACCAATGGAAATCCTCTCCCCAGTACCAGAGGAAGAGAATTAAAACCACATTACTTCTGTGGCGGTGTAGCAAGGAATCCCAAATTGTTTGCAGGATCAATACTGAGACAGGGAAATATTAAAAAGAACTGGACAGGATAATATAATCACATGAATAAAACAAAAGTCTTCCAAAGTGACACACAAAAAGTTATTTAAAAATATTTCTGCTAAAGCTCTTGTGTATATTATGTGGTCTGGTTCTTCAGCATTATGGTCCATTAGTACCTACAGCAAAGGATAGAAAAAAAGACAAAGTTAAGCAGGGTGTAAGACCAAGTACCTTTTGTGCTTCACATATGTTATCTTTCTTTGTTCAATGCAACAAACAAACAAAAACCACCACATAGTTGACACTATAAACAATTAAGCCAATTTGTGTTACTTTTAATCTATGTTTAAATAAACATTTCAGCTTTTATAACCACATTATCAGGGTTAGGCTGGGAATGATAAAAAAACCAACAACAATAGCTTATCACTGAGAAATGATGACACTATTCTATTCATTCTGTTGTAACAATGTACAGCCATTAAGTCTCTTTCTCATTTTAACTCATGGAGATCTTACCTATAATAGTTTGGTTTGAAGGGCCCATTCTTATTGAGTCCCAAATATTTTGCTTGATCATCCGTTAGTTCTGTCAGATGAGCGTCAAATGATGGCAGATGCAAGCTGGCAACATATTCATCTAGGAAGGTCAAAAACATAACTATTAGTTTAAGCTTTTTTAAAAAAAATTGTTTATACTGCCTCAAAGCTTTTAAGAAGCTGATCTGAAAAATAGTCCCCTCCATCATTAGTCTCTAACGCAAAGTCTAGCAGAGCCATTATTACAGATTGCATAAACACTGAGGCAGAAGGATAATACACTGAGTATTTTCTTTACTTTTGCTCCCTCATCATTCTAATGTGGATCTTTTTATTATTTTAAATTTTAAATTTTGATTTTGAAATAGACATGATCTAAGAGGTAAAAATATCTTGACACTCCCCATTCTAAACTTAATATTTAATAAAAATATTTTCTAATTCTTATCTAAAAGCAAAGTAGTTGCTTCTACTTTGTATCTTTCAAACAAGATGTTTCATTAATATACTTAATCAGCAACTTATTAGTGCCCCATGAAAACATTTATGTAATTTCCTCATATTTTATGCAATTTCCTTTTTTCAAATTTCTTATTTTGGTGCTAGCAGCTCTTTTAAATACACATCCTATTATCTCACAGCTTTCATTGCATGCCAAGTTTATATTAAGTTCAGAATCTGGATAATAAAGTACAAATGCATTAAATAAAAAGTGATTAAGAATTATTTATAAAAACATTAGGATTAAAATGGCTTAAAGCTCAATGGTCTAATATGAAATAGGTAGGTAATACAAATCACAAGTATACCAAAATAAAGGTAGGCAGACAGACAGACAAACAAACAGACAGACAGACAGGGACAGTCAAGACAGACAGATATGGCTTACATTTCAAGGTCTCTTTCAATATAGAAGCTATTGTTCAATAATCAATAAATTACACTTAAGAAGTCACAGATTATTTGCTTACCCATCTTCTTAGGCAACAGATATACATCTTGTTTGTATCTTCCCTCAGGAGCATTGTAAAGCTCAATCAAAGCCAAAGCCTATTAAGATCAGAGAGATGCTGAAATTAACAATAACTACAGAGTTTAAATTGAGGCTCTCATATGGCCAGTGATAAAGACATTTATTTAGAAATACTAAATATACTTTAAATACTGGATTGTGGGACAACTAGCATTTATGGATAACTGAAGAAAGTGCTAAGGTACTATTATATATGTAGATCATCAGACAGATGGAATACACACACACACACACACACACACACACACATATATATTTATTTATTTTAGACACAATACATTCTAAATGAAAGGGAAGCAACCAATATCTCTGTATTTTGACCATAATGCACAAGCAGTGATTTGGGAAAAATGAGAACAAGTTATTAAGTTAACTGTAACATTTCAATTGAGATGTGTAACTGAAGCCATTTAACAGAAAAAAAGTTCTCCCCCTTAATAGTTTTTATACAAATCAAGTATGTTTTCAAAGGCACGAGTACCAAAACAATGCACAATTAACTGCCTTTAAAAAAGACAGTTCGGGCAATAGAACAGGGTAATAGCTTTAATATATTGTCTAAGGATTCATTATGCAAATATGAGGTTTCACAGCTAATAAAACACCTGATAACACAAGGGGAGGAACAGGGGAAAATTCAGAAATAAATAAATGACATTTAATAAATAAATAAAAAGAAAGCTGGACACTCTTCAAATAAGTAATGGGTGGAGTTTTCTACAACCAGCAAATTCTGCTTCCTGCAATTACTCCCTTATTCAAATGCAAGTCACCTTATTTTTCATGCTTTGATTTTAGCTAAACTTATGTACCTAAAACCTGAATTGTAGGAAATTTATTCTTTAGTATCTGCTGCAGAATGTATATGTTTCATAATCTATACCAGTGGTCAGCAAACTCATTAGTCAACAGAGCCAAATATCAACAGTACAACGATTGAAATTTCTTTTGAGAGCCAAATTTTTTAAACTTAAATTATATAGGTAGGTACATTGTTATTAACTTAATTAGGGTACTCCTTCGCTAGCCTTTGCTAAAAAAATCCTCAATCTGATTGAGGTACGTTCGCTGTGGTTGACCCCTTCCAACTCTCCCATCCACACTCATAACTCTCTGTATCTCTGTATCTCTCTGCCCGGAGCAGCACCAAAGCCCCTCTCCCAACTGGCCCTTCCTCCCTCGGAGGGCTACAGAGGGAAGCTTCTGCAGAAGCCCAGGTGAGTGAGAACAAGTTCCCGCTATTACAAAGTCTCCGAGACTGTAATTGTACGGGCTGTGCGCGCGTGCCTAAGTTTTCCACTGTGTGGAGCAGTGGCGAGACTCTGCACAGCTGGCGATGACTCTGGAGGCCATCCGGGAAGATGAGGAATGTGAGGGGGACCCATCCCCCGCAGATGGCCTCTGGAGTCATCGCCGGCCATGCAGAGCCTCAGCGCTGCTCCATGCCGTGGAAAACAGGCGCATGCGCATAGCCCGTACAATTACAGTCTCAGAGACTTTGTAATGGCGGGAACTTGTTCTCACTCGCCCAGGCTTCTGCAGAAACTTCCCTCTGAGGGAGGAAGGGCCAGTTGGGAGAGGGGCTTTGGTCCTGCTCCGGGCTGTAATTGCACGGGGAGTGCGCGGGCCTATATTTTCCACGGAGTGGGACTGCAGCCGGAAGACAAGGAATGTGAGGTGCCGCAGCAGCAGGGGAGTTGGGGCGCTGCCCACCAAGCAGCGCAACCCACAGCTAGCCTAGGACCAGTAGTCGCCGCCAGCCACCCTGCGGCGCCATCGCTCGCTACCACTCAGGCCGTAGCCTGGGGGGACACGCAGAGTGTGTGGTCGCAGTGACGGCAGCCAAGCAGGGGGAACGCTTTGGTGGGCGCTGAGGGAAGGAAGGAATGAAGGAGGCTGCAGTCTCCTTTGCTCCTGGCTATGCTATCTCCTTTCGTTCTCTGTTGCCCAAACGAGTGAAGTAGGGAGACAGAGAACGGAAGGAGATAGCGTAGCCGAGGCAAATGAGCCTGCAGTTTCCTTCATTCACATGGCTGAAACCCACCCCTGCATTGTATGTGTGCGCCCGCACGTGGTATTTTGTGGAAGAGCCACACTCGAGGGGCCAAAGAGCCGCATGTGGCTCGTGAGCCGCAGTTTGCCGACCACTGATCTATACTATGTATAGATTTCTTCTATTTTCTTTCTTCACAATCAATATATTGCAAATGCAGACTAAGGCAAAGTGTCTAAGTTAAGTATTGGCAACTGAATACCTGAGTGGTAGCCGTAATGGACAGGACAAAAGTAGGAACAGTTGAACAGCTTAGATTGAGAAGTCGCCCCTATGTTAAAAACAAAACAAAACACCTCTGAGATAACTGCAAGTGGTAAACATGGATTAGAGCCATTAAAACTGAGGACAATACTTTAGTTTCAATTTACTTTACCAAATACCTAACTGACAAGAAATGTGGAGTTGATCTGAAATTATTAAATAATATCTCAAATCTTTTAAATCCTGAAAATTTGAGATAGTATATAGTTTAGATGTGAGGAAATTAACTCATCATTGGGAAAATAATCAATTTCAGATGTTAAGATTAGCTGAACCCAAAAGAAACCACACAATCTAGAAATGAGGGTCACACCCACATCGATCTTGTTGGCTTTGCATTTCTGCATAATTGTGCAGAAAAAATGTTTTTTGTTTCAGTTCCGTAACTGTTTGCCAGAATAATTTATTCTTATTTGTAATTATTTATAACTAGGTACAACACCATGCTATTTTTCACTATCTTGGATCTTGAGAAACAGTTTAAGACATACCTGAATCTTTCTACACATACCTCAGCTAGTAGAACAACTCGTTTGCCATCAGGCCAGATTACATGATCCACCTGAGAACGTACCCGCTCCCAAGTAAGTTCTGGGGTACGAAGACTAGCCTAAGAAAGGAAACATTCAGAGAGATTAAACTACAAGATTTCATTGGGAGAAAAGAGAAACCAAGGATAATAAATACTCACCACATCAATTTCAGTGTTGGAATGTCCCATGTTACATACAATGCAACTATTCTTCATTCGATCCAAATGTTCTCTAGTCACCACATTCTTATTCCCTACATTGAAAAAAGGCACCTATAGCAAGCTGATGATTTACTTTAGCTATCCTATTTTTCCTTGCCTGTCCCAAAATTTTTAATTCCAAATTTTATATACACAACAAAACAGCAAGTTACATAACTAATATTTCCCAACACTTTAACAATTCATACATTATTTTAACATTGAACTTTGAGTAGGGAAGTCTAATCTTAACCATCCCAAAATAGAAAAACAGAATTTTAAAATTTCACCAGTTGGAAATAATATGAACTTAAAACAGGCACATTACTTATCCTTCTCAGTAAGTTTTACCTGTGCAGGTTATGACTATATCCATCTGTCGAATTACTTCATTGAGTTTCACTACCCGAAATCCATCCATGCTACCACACAGAAATGAAAGAATAAAGGAACACTGATCACAACATGCAAAACAATAGGATGAACAATTTGTCCATCTAATCAACTTCTCAAAATCAAATAAATTAAAAACTCATTGTCAATATCGCAGCATAACTGAATATATCTATTCTTAAATGTTATTCAGATGATGCTATTCTTCAATAACTTATTTCATAAATAAGTTGATAAAAAGGTATTTTCAGAAGGATCAATAAAAATAATTTTACTGTTCCTGAAATGTAAAGGAATTCTTCATATATATTTGTAAGTTAGATACAGTACCTCAATTAATAGTACTAGGTTTGTTCTTATTACTACTGTCAAAGAATCCAAGCCAATTTGTTTTGCTATGTTTTAAAGAGCAAAAGAAGAGAAATATTCCATAAGGTACACTGATTCCCTCATGCCCAAGGGTGAATTACTGCACTTCCAATTCTCAATGACCAAGTACCATTTTTCTTTTCACAATTTCTTTATTCATTTCATGGATTTCATTGACTGACATTTGTCTGAAACAGCAGCAATAGAATAAATAAACCAAAGTAGCTGAGAACAGCTAATATCAGGTTAAGGATTGATATTACTTGACTGCTTTTGTGTACACTAGATATACAATACTGAAACATTGTTCACATAAAACAATATTTTGCCAGCTATGAAAAAGCAAATAAAGTGCATGACACTCTTAAAGGAATAATTACTTAGCATGATCCAAGTCTTTCTAGAATTCAAATTACATTTCATTCCATTCTATTAAAAAATAACTGCAGAAAACGTAAATAGCCACACCTGTTAAATAGTTATTGTACCATGAAGTACCTTTCTGGTAACTGGAATTTGGATCCAACAGAAAGGATCCCCACTTCCAATAGCTGAGAAATAGGGCCTAACACTTCTTCCTATCCTATAGATGAAACCTCTTCCCTTCAATTATATACATTGACTTCAAACGAGTATTTCCCCCCTACTATTTCATAGTAACAATAGCAATAGCAATAGCAGTGGACTTATATACCGCTTCATAGGCCTTTCAGGCCTCTCTAAGCGGTTTACAGAGAGTCAGCATATTGC